GTAAAACGTTTAACTAACTTAAAAGGTTTTACAATAATAAAAACACATTAACAAAAACCTTCTTCTGTCTTTCTTAGCCGAACTATTTCAAAAACATCCATGAATGGATGACAAAGGTATAACCAGAAACAACCATTCACATATATTTTGTTGTCAAAGGACAAGAACTACCTCAGTCGACCTGACATTTTCGACCCACAAACCGTCTTAATGCCCAACAAAATCGTAGTAAGATACAGGTTGGAATTATGATGGTGAACAAGTTTGCAAAGTTTCAAAGACATATTTCAATGGACTTTGAAAATATTTGAGGTAGTATGCAAACTTTAACTCAAATTCTAAGTCGAAGAAGGTTCTTAGTTCTGTCAAAACGCTTGAAAGAGGTACCTCCTCTTGTTTACAGGTTACGGGCATAATGGTGAACAGGTGTACAAAGTTTCAAAGCCATATATCAATGGACAAATATTTGAGATGATACACAAACTTTAACGTAAATTCTAAGTAAAAAAGTGGCATAATTCTGTCAAGATGCTTAATAGAGTTACTTCATACTGTCTACAGGTTAGGGGCATAATGGTTGGCAAGTGTGCAAAGTTTCAAAGCCATATGTCAATGGACTTTGAAAATATTTGAGGTTGTACGCACACTTTAATGTAAATTCAAAGTCGAAAAGAGGGCATAATTCTGTCAAAATGCATAATATAGTTTCTTTCTCCTGTCTACAGGTTGATGTCATGATTGTGACCAAGTGCGCAAAGTTTCAAAGCCATATGTCAATGGACTTCGAAAACATTTGAGATGGTACGCAAACTTTAACATAAGTGGTTACGCCAACGCCGACGCTCGGGCGACTAGAATAGCTTTACATATTTTTATCGAATAGTCGAGCTGTTCAGTTGCCATACTCGTAGAAATACACTGACATTTACTCATACACAACCGATATAAAATTGAAACACGCCATCACAGGAAACAGACCAATGTGAAGCATGAAAGCAATCAGATCACAATTATACATCGATTACACGTTAGAGGAAAGTAACAAGTGAGTGATGACAGCGATATAATGTGATGCCAAAATGCATGTATCAAATCATGCTGCATGTGCAGTTTAAAAAATGTTTCAAAACGAGGTATTATTTCCATCAGACAAATCGTTTTGTTACTGCTGATAGTGAATATTAATGGACCATTTCACATGTTAACACACGCTCTTAAATCTATACATTTGTATAGGCAGCCAACATTTAATAGTCCACTTAAATATGATCATAATTCATTTTCACAGTAGGAAATGGTATCATAGTAGTTTTCTGTTCATAAGGAAGTCCACACTTGAGAGTTTTATAAATGACGTAATGTAATTGTTTTTGGTGAAAGTTTTAGGAAAGGTTAGTGTACTTCGACATTTAGGATACTCTTGTCTATAATAGAAGTGTCATACAGTTTAATACTGAATCTAGGACTTTTTCATTGTAATCTCAGAGGAGGTAATGTACAGTAGAGATAAAATACTTAGCTAAATAGTAATAAATTTAACTCTGGTTACAATGTTCTAAATTGTCACTATTGTAACTAGCTCTCAATCTGTAAAATTATTACCTCTTTACGCTACTTTTAATTTCCTTTGCCAAAGGAACAACAATATGAAAAGGAATCTTTTCTTTATTTCATTGTTCTCGAGGAAGGGCTTGTTTTCAAATGTTATGGTCCTTTATGTTCTAATTGCTGTTGAGTTGACGACTCTTCTCTTTCATTGTTGAAATACTATTTTCTTGTCCTTAGTAGTATTACAATCAAATAGACTTGTGAAAACCGAATTTCCTAAAGAACGCATGAAATGAAATAATCGAAATGTTGAAGGCTTGGTCTGCTTGAGCCTGATCATTGGCCAACAGTGGTAATTGCAATCTACCATAAACAGCTCCTTGCAATGGCTTAGGCAGTATTTAACATTTAAACACACAATAGTAAAATTTGAATTTAGAAACATCTACTACGTTTGGATTGATAACATAAGTCGGTGCTAAATGTTAAAGGAGGCGACGGGGAGAATGTCCTCTATTAAACAATGTCTACAATTTTAACAATATCTTATTTCCAATGAGGTCTCTAACCTTTAAAGAATGGAAACAGGTAAATAATTTACGACTGATAAGACAATACAACAATATACTATATTTTTGTACTAACATATGAAGAGTCTATGAATATATTGTCACCTCAAGCCAAATATAGTCTTATCTCCATTTAGAATAGTCATATAATTCAACATTAAAGATACAAATACAAAATAGTTCACATTTCAATAAGAGTGAAAATCTGTACATTCAGCGCACATGTGATGTATAATCGCTTCCCGTGGTAAAGCTACGACTAGTCTAGATTCCAAAGTGTTTCAATAAGATGATATTTTCCAACACAATCGAACTAAAATAAAGTCATATAAATTAAAACTATAATAAATACGACTTTGATCGATCACGATTGAACAATTTATTTGGACCGAAATAACAATAGAGCTTATGCTTAGAAGACTCATTAACTTAAAAATATACTCGGCCGATGAAAACTCGATTTTACTTGGGGATTTCGAAGTTTTGAGTACATGAAGAAATGTTAACGCTTGTAATTATGAGGGCAAATTCTAATTTTTATTCTATTGAAGACTGGCCGCGATGAAAAATAATAATTTGACATTTTCGATAAATCAATCAATTCATTTTTACCCTCATGTACATCGTTAATAGATGATGAATGTCAATTTAAATTAAAACACAATCAATTTAACAATACGTTGCGTTGGACATGAAATTAAATCAAAATTGAACATGACGTTTTCTTGCACCTGGGACACCAATATAAATACGAAAGATTCAAAATAAACATATTTTTTAATAAAATTCTTTTGAAAAACATACTTACTTTTACGACAGTAAACATAGCATTTGATGGTTAGATGTATGAAACAATTGAACATATCAATAATAATAATACATGTCGTAAAATATCATTATCACTTAACATAATCTACTGAGAGTACCACAATAATGTTGTGTCTTTCGGTATTTTTTTTTTTATAAATTTCCGGGATTGGAAGCATTATTGATGGTCTCGTTGTTTTAGACAAATTTTATTTTTAACACAGCTAACTGTTATGTTTAATAAGCTAGAGAATTCATTAAAGAATTTTTGAAATGTTAAAAGCAATGTTAACTTTTGTATGTTTAATGGAAAGAAGAACGGTTCACATGTCTCAAATAAATTTAACTGGAAGCTTCGTTTTCGAAATCCCCTTAGATTATTTAGGAATTTAGACGTATATAGAGAGATACTTTATATTCTTTCTAATTTAAGAATGTCCAATGACATTAATTGCTCTCAGTTTGTAATTATTTTGGAGTGACCAATGGAAATCCTACCTATATTTAGTAATTGCCCTGTATATTTTACAGGAAGTCAAACTGATCGCAGACGGAGTTCGTCCAAAAAATGTATTTTGTAGAGAGCTTACTCTGGCGGGTAGTATATCAGTTGCAAAGTGACCAATTGAAATATTTGTTTATATAAATATTTTGATATTATTATTTTTTTTTGCTTCAACATCTTTCATTTTCACATTTTCACATTAAGTGACATTCGTTTCGCTGTCAAATTGAGTTGAATCAGTAATTTATTTCATAAGATTGACAATTACTATGGTGATTGACCAATGATTGGTAATGATAAATGTTTATGATAAATATAATAACGACCTAGATTATAAATGTATGTACCACTCAATAGAAATTTCGAATGATTATTGATTAGCTTTCATTTTGAAATACAAAATTGAACACAAATTATGGCAAAGGGTCAAGGTATTTGTATTTTCCTCCTGTCCACTGACCATTTACACTTGGATGGACATAATGTTACTTTAATACCAAATGTAAAAGATTTTTGTTATATATACTAAATGGTCATTTATAACATATTTCGGTATTTCACTTATTATAAGGACAGCTCTCCTAGTGGTTTAGGTGTCGTCCTCTTATTCACATATAACGTATGTTTAAAGCCTACAGTGGAGTAAGTAACGACATCCGTTCCTCATTCGATACCAGACCTTGCAAGTTCCAGAAGGCGGCCTCTAGTGTTGTTTTAAAGAGCTTCACACTTCATTGAAAGTCATGTTCACTTTAAAATGTTTAAACTAAAAACATAAAGAGCATTTTATGTAACAAAGGCATAAACATTATGACTGATAATTTTGGGCAATGCGCAATAAACATTGTTGTCTGGTCAAATACTACACAACCATGTTTTTTTCCAATTAAATAGAGTACTAGTATCAATGATACGAAGCCATTTAAATTTAGTATTATAATCGGGTTTTTATCCTGAAAATCACTATTGTCGATGCTAAGATCTTTTTTTAATTTTGCATCAAAAGATAAAGATTTCTATGTTGTATTTGACGCCCCTGACAGGTAATGTTAACAAAAGAAATGAGACTGTGAAAGCACAAGTTACACTAAATGTTCAAGAAACAGGTTCATTTAAAGACTGTAACATTTTCATTTTGGCGTGTTGCACGACATTCAAGGTTTTCCTTCGCTCAATGCTTTTTTTGTTTTGAAAATTCATTTACATGAATATAACATCGATTATATAAAACAGAGTGAGATAAAGAATCCCTAAAGAAAGCCCAACAAGACAAAATTGAAAATGTTGCAGGCTCTGTTTGATTGAGCTTGTTCATGGACGGTAATGGAAAGTGCAAGTTACCGTCCACGCCCCTTAGCACCGGCTTTAGCAGAATTCAACATTTAACTTGAACTGGTACAAACCAGATGTTGAAATATATGTACCAATTTGATAAAATAACACATATTTAGATAATGGGTTCACGAATGTCTGCTTTTGATAAATAATGACATTTCGATTTTAGGTCAAAAATTGAATAATAGATAAAATGTGACAAGCAAAGGTCCCATTTAGTAATTATCTAGATAGTAAGACTTGCTTTATTTAAATATATTACGATATAATTGTGGTGTTGTAAGAATTTTAATGTGTTGTTTACTGGCCATTTGAACAGATTACAGGTGAATATACTAGCAGCTTATTACGAACAGCATGAAAGGTTACCTATTCATTTTAGCAGCGCTCAGTGGTAAGGACAACGGACTTCATTATACTTTGTCATATGATAGAAACGTTAATTAATTTATAAAATAGAAAAAAAACGAAAAAAGATTTCATAATATGACAAGCCTAAATGTGTCTTCTTTCAGTTTTCTGTCGCTTATAATGAATCGGCAATATTTCTTTTTTCATTTATCTCTAAATTAATATGTTATAAGACTATTGTAATTTTTAAATTGCAAAAAATGTCAAAAGATAGATGTGAAAGGCGACACATGTTTTACCTTGTTTTCTATGGTGATTTTACCTACGTTTTATGATTGGATTTTGAAATTTCTCCTTTATCAATTGATTACTTAACAAAGGGTTACATCATGTTTGACCGTTATTGCGAGAAAAATGGCCGACACAGCAAATGTAGAACAAGTTAAACACGGGCGCGCCTTATTATTTTCCTTTCGAATACCGTAAAAACAAACATTAACACATTGATCAAATGTTAAAATGTGAGTCTGAACTCGGTTAAATTAAGCAATATACAGCGGTATAGGCAATATCAAACATGAAAATATTACTATCGTGCCAATTTGAATTCCATTACATCCGCAAATATGTTTATAAAACAGTGATCACTAAACCTTTAATGACACATTTATGACATTTCATGATTTGTGGCGGCGTTTTTGGACCCCCAAGTAAAAGAACACGTGTATTCTTAACGGAAAGAACTCAATGGACCGAACTCATTACACTGGACTTTAAGAGTAAACATGTTATAAAGTCTGACATCACAATAATTTGTTAAAAGCACAAAAATGGTGACTAGAAATCATTCTAGTAAATATTATAAGGTCACGTGTGATTAAATATTTTCAGGGCTTTCAAGGCGTGAAAATTGCTGTCCCTTACTTGTCTCTGGTGTGTACATTTACACAACCAATATAAATGTGAACAATTATTGTTACTTGTTTCAGTTGCATGCATCAATTGTTCATTTTGTCCTAACAATAATCTTCAAACGGAATGCTTGGATCTTCAATGTGGTACTGGCTTTCATGTACAGTGTCAAAGGGGCATATGCACTTGTAACCGTAAGTAGAGTTTGTTCAATTATGTCATCATAAACTTCTAAAGTAGCAAATTCATGAAATAAATCGCAATAATGATAGAATGCAATTGTGTGCACCTTAAATTATTGTTTTTGACAAATGGGTCCAGTAGACTCAATCTTTTGAAACATATTTATCATATAATTTTATAAAATTATATAATGCAAGAGCATGTCATATCAACCACCTTTACTGTTTACTAAATTATTTATAAAAATGTTAGGTTTAATGAATATATTGATGTTTTAACAGCCGATGCGAGCCACGTGTGCTTGAAAAAGACAGACTGTTACGAAATGTACTTTACTGGGACACTTACATTTTGCGCTGATGACTGGCACTGTGTAGATAACGGATGTAAATGTGGTGGAAAGTTTGGCAATTAACTTAACATGTTCTTGAATATGTGTTAATTTGTATTTATAATAAATTGGCAATGTCCTAGTGAAGCATTTTTCCTTAACCCTTAATACTATTACTCTTTGTTAGGCCAATATGACGTTAACGTCAAAGTTATAGAAAAAATATGGGCTAACTATAAAGGAATGTTTTATCTTTATTTTCTACAAAAATATAAAAATGATTTGAATTTAGCTAGGACATTAACATACACCAATGATTTCATATTTTATTATGAATGGAAAACTTAAAAAAACTCCCAGCAATTTCAGAATTTAACTTCAAATTTACTGAATTGTGCACAAATATAGAAAATATAATACTTTATAATAGACAATTATGTTAAAAACCATTTTGTTCAAAGCGCATACTTTTTTATGAGTAATTAGAATTCATTCCATTCGTACATTTTTAATATAATTTATCTTCATGAATCAAATGATATCAAACTTATATGAATCTACAATTGCTCAAATTGTTACATTTTCCTTGTTGATCTCTATTCTCTTTTTTTTCTCATTACTTTAGTTTGTACCTATATTATCTTATATTTTCCCATGGAAACAACAGCAGTTGCTATTGCAGTTGAGGTAAAATAAAGTCAGCTTTCCATCTTGATGGTCCTTTGTGACGAAACCATAACTGTTGTCGCTGTTAACATTTTGAATTTTGGCTGTTTCATATTGTTATTTACATCCGAGTATTTGGATTTCAAGCCTTTTTTAAGCGAGGATAGAATAACACATATTATTCAACATGAACGTTCACTTGTTGTGGGGCCTGTGTATAAGAATAAATTTTCGGTTACAAGAGTTTGGTGATATTTCATTTTTACTGAAAGACAAAGAATAAATAAACAAAACAATGAACAGTTACTCAGTTCTTCAACAACTCAAGAAATCGAGTAAAATTTATGTTTCTTGATTATTGTTTTACTTTTATTATATTTGCGAAATACCTTTTAATGTTATGAAATGTAAACAGTTTTCGACTTAAATGCCATGTCTTAAAATCTAATGAAGTGGACACACGACCTCAGTTTGGAATCGCTTCTTCTATAGAATAAATTTGTTTATCATGAACCTTTTTAGCCATTGGAAACAATATGTCTTTATTTTTGGTATAGCGTGTCATCTTACCAATTGTACCAGTTCATCTTAAATGTTGAATTCTGCTTAAGTCGGTGCTAGGGGTCGTGGACGGTAGTTTTGCACTTGGCAGTACCGTTCAGGTTCAATCAAACCGAGCCTGCAACATTTTCAATTTTGCCGTGTTGGGCTTTCTTTCACGGGGGAGGAAGTGTTACACGAAGGATGGAGTTCTTATGATAAATTGTTTGGAGTTCTTATGATAGCTGTCACGGAGTTCCTGGAAAACGTTACGGATTTCTGTGGAAAACTTTTCTATATACTTGGAGAACTAATATAAAAATGGTCATTTTTACCTTTAAATGGGGAGTTTGAGGTGCTAAATTAAACTTTGATAATTAAGCTTGCCCTACATATTGTATAATATTTCAGAAAAACCTTTTAGTCCATTTTTCATCGCCTTTTAAAAAAAAAATCTGGTAGTTTTGAGTAAAATTTCCAAATTACTTCTCATTCGTACATATTGACCTTTTCATTTGTGATCTTCTTCGTTGCTATACATAAATACATATTTGTAATGCAAAGTTGCAAACATAAAGCCCAGGCTAATAAATTTATACCCGATTTTTCAAATGTCACGAAGTTCTTGTGATAACTCAAAATATGTCCTGTTACTGCCAGTGTGTTTCCTGTGCTTAATTACGGCACATTTAAGCGTAGTTTATTAGTCAATAAGTGTGTAAATCATTATGAAGCATAGTACGCGTATCATTTGCACACACATTTGGTTATATAACGTTGATTTTGAGCGTATTTCAGTTCAAGAGATATTTTTCTTACCACCGTTTTGTGTGGGTTTTTTGTGTTTGTTTGTGTTTTTTTTCTTTTTATTGGAATGACTGAAACATACTTGATGAAGAGCATTTACTTACAGGATAAAAATACGCTTGCATTTAATATTTAAGCATGATTTCTTCATGTATACATTTTTCCTGGGAGTTTTAGAGAACATTAAGTAATTATGCTATCCAGGGGGTCGAATGTATAGCGGTGCGATACTCCTTTAAGCGAGGTGATTTCATGCGATACGCCCTTATGGTGGATTTACCCATGTAAACACACGTCAGAGTGAGTGTTTTTTATTAAGTATTTCATAAATCTTTGATTACAATTGCATATTTTGTATTGAGGATGTGAAAATAGGACCGAGAGACATTTCATCAAAATTACAGAGGCCTAAATTCATAACTAAAAATGTTATTGAAGGTAAACTGACGGCAACTAATTTTGGGTCGGTGAATAAAATCGCTTAATTCAAGCTTATATTAATATAGTTAATTTCTTTTTCTTCTTTATTCTATAAGAGTAATCATAATTGAGTTGCATAGCAAGTACCTTTGTGCTCCGATATACATAGACGCTTACTGGTCAAAATATTTAAATGTACGCTGAATTTTGGTGCGATAAAATAACTGTACGCTGTTAAAGGTTTGATATTTTTCATTATCACATCTGCTGTACATGTTTTCCTATGATTATACTAAAATATCTACCATATATTTGCCCGTTTCCGGAAAGTTGGAAAAAAGTAACCTTTACTCTAAGATCTTAGATAAAAAGTAGGAATTTGACCAAAATATGTAAGAATGAATTTTAGCAATAGAATTGAACATTTCAAACAACCTATAAAATACCATGAAAGTACATTTCACTGCTGTTCTAGAGATAGAGACTGAGAACCAGGTGGTAAAAATCTAAAATTCTTTTCTAAAATCTTGCTTAGAACAGGCTATTTTTGTAGTGCACATAATTGTCGCCTGTCAGGAAAAAACACAAAACTACAATTTCAAAATTCAGTCAGTCATTGGCCACCAAACAGCTCAGTGTCTTTCTTAGGAACAGCTGATGCTCACATGTGCAAATGCACAGTTGTAAATGTTGCAGAGCAATTAAAACATTACAAATTGATTAACGAACAAAGCTACTGCCAGATAGGTAGAGTACCACAAGTACAAATGCTGACACATGTGCAAATAAACAAAAAAGCTTTTGAGTATATAATATTAGATTGAGTCACACTGCTTATGGAGTATATAAATAACCATGGGTTTGTGGGTTACAGTTAAAATATCATCCAATGGAAAATACTGTTAGCCAAGGTGTTAGCCGAGGGAAACAGTAGTTTTAGGAGGGTTGATATTTTTACTGTTACTCACAAACGCTTGTGTACTATTTATTTTATTTCCGGAACAGATACTGTAATCTATAATACTTTTATTCACATAAAAAAACACTTGCCCAGATTTTATACTGTAAAAAAGTGCTGTTGGCCTGTAACAGTACAAATCTCTTGGTGCAATTGCTTTAACAATAAGAGTAACTCCTAGTGGAAATGAATATTTACAAAAAAGTTAGGGGTTATGCTATACATTAAATGTTGCAGAGAAAGCCAGTTTTAAAAGTAAAACTACTGGCAGATATGTTAAATCACTAAAAGTATGAATGCTTTCATAAGCAAATACACAAAGCTGTTTGGTATACACTGGTTATGGAGTAGCATAATTATATATTCAAAGCGACAGAGCAAATGATAAACATCAGAATTACTGAAATACAACGGTGTGCTCTGTATATAATATATAACATCCAATCCATAGAGGAAATCAAACCAGTATTTTTTTTTATAAATTTCAAGTTCCATTGTAAAAAAATAGAAGAAACAAAACGAATATTATCGTGACTATTGATTACTTGATAGAATTTCAAATTTCTGTGCATAACTTATCTCATTTTAATGATTAACCTTTGTGGGAAAATAATATTTAAATTAACTATACTATAGTATAATACATTAATTGACACTGTTGTTTTAATTGACACTGTGGTTTTCATATGATTAAAATACAAACTCAAAACTTGATTTTTCATCAAAATTGAATAAGAATGTACTGTAATGAGGAAGTTGCTACAGAAAAACATACCAACATTTGTGCGTACAGTTGGTTTATTGGACCAAATATTAGGCGTACAGTAAAAAAATTGGAAATATTTTATATATTTTCGGATAGATATGGAAAACTACTCTTGTATATCGTTTTGTTTTCAAAAATAAACATGTTGGAACTTAAACTAATCGAATATCTCGTTTTAAAACGAGTGATACATTATTCGTTTGCATGTGCATATCAGGTTGACGATTGAATTTGCAGCAACAAATACCTCAATACATTCCTCAATTCAATAAAATTTAGTATTTTATTTTGACAATCATGCACAATTATAAGTTTTGATCAGCATGCACAATGCTATTCTTCAAAAAATTACAATAGAAAACAAATATTTGGAAAAAACAAGCTCATACCCACTTTCGTTTTTGCTCCCGTCCGCCATCAGGGCGTATCGCATGAATTCACCTCGCTTAAAGGGGTATCGCACCGCTATACGTTCGACCCATTGTATCGGTTTGCCGAAGCAAATTACATGTAAATGATTTGCAGCAAAATAGGAAGTAGTATGTACTACCTTTATCTAAATTTAAAGAGGGGGTGTCATCTTTAGGTATTCAATGGATATCTTAATTTCTAAAAGGTATCAATTTTGTCATAGAAACGTATAAAGTTCTATGAAAATGATATGACAATAGAAAGTAAGTCTTTAATAATATATGTGAGTCACCATAAGGTTCATGCCGTTTCTTTCTCTATTAAATCCAATGAAGCATCACTTGACGTATAGAAATCTCAATATTGCGGAAAATTATTGCATACATTTTTCTTATCAAAGTTGGGAGTCCTTCGGGCATTCCCCCTAAATAATCCTAGTTGTGGAAACTTTTTCTGTAATTGACAACAAAAATATATTGTCGAACTTCTTTCGCTCCAACCCGTAGGGCACGTGCAAATATGTTGAAGAGATCGATAGTAATCGGTTGATTTTTTATGTTTAAAAAGATCATACA